GTATTGTTCCAGGACCCAATTTATCAACAAGTTTGAAACTATATAACGCATTGGACATGGGCGGACGCAACTGGCCAAGATCACCTGCGAAAATGATATTCACTCCGCCAAATGGTTTGTCCCTCGCTGTTTCATCCCATGATTTTGCCTGACAGATTCGATGCGAGACCTGGCTTAGCAATTCTGCCGATAGTAAGGACGCTTCATCCAAAATAAGGTACTCTACTGGTTCGCCAGATATACTCCAGGTCATGTTGTTTTACGGGTACCTCACATTTAGGCAGGAAAGTCAATGCATGTATGGTGTATCCATCGATCAGAACAGCCGCACTTCCTGTAGGTGCACTCAGCGTCAATTTCTCTGGTGCCCCACAACGTCTGAACATCTCCACAGTTGCTCGAATAACATGACTCTTGCCAGAGCCTCCAATGCCAGTAATAAACATAAGCAATTGTTTGATATCACCATGAATAAAATGCTCTCCAATAATCCTCAGACACATTTCTTGCTCAGCATTATTTGAGAGCTTAAACTCTTGAATGATGTCCGTCAAAATACACTCTTTCTGGCTATCTGTGATCTCAGGCTTATAATATATCGATGTGATGTCCGCATCTTTCTCCATCTGTTCCAAGCTGATGGTTGGATCATCTTCAGTCAAATCCATCTGAGCTCGCTTCACCTCTGCGTCCGTAGAACCTACATCTATGGGTCTCTTACGTTTCTTAGCAGTTTTCATGATAGACGTAAACTCCTTAACACGTCCTCGATTCTGGTCTGTCAAAAGCTCTGTCATAGTCGCATCACATTCAGAATTCGCACTTGGGAGTGACCTCACAACTTCAAATAACCCACCGTCTTTGGCGGCTCTAAGGCATGTTTGAATATCCCCAGCATTTTTATTGACATCACCAGGGATTAGTGACTTCGATTCACCATCTATGGCGGAAAGATCGTCGTCTTCAGGATCAAGAGAAGAATCAGCGAATAAGGCTTGGTCAAATGCTGCCATATCAGTTTGTCCGTCATCATATTCCGTGTCATTCCGATCAAATACATGAGGTTTAATATGTTGTTCTCGTGCTGCATGAGCATGTGCGTCTCGAGCTTCTTTACATTCTTTCTCTACATTCATATTGTGGATAATAGCAGTCTTTGCAGGTGAAAACGTCTCTTGTTCAAATGCCTCAATCCATGTTCTGTGTTCACCTTTCAAGCATCTCAAGTCTCGCCATGGCTTAAATAACATCATCATACATCGGCAATATTTTTCATATTCTTCCTCTGCACCATCCGGCCGTGGGATTGCATCGCCTAATAATACTGGGATCACTTGTTTTTTCCGCATACGCAACCTATGGGATTTGTACTGACTGTGCTGATCGCAAAACTTAGCTCGTAAAAGCATCTTCTTCCTCTCTTTTTTCATCTGAACGGTCCTAAGCTCCTCACTGTCGCTATCTTCGATCTCTGATGTGTCTTCTAAAGGTATGTCTCCTCGTTCTTTGACAGTTCTCTCCACAAATTCCCATAAGCACAAATCATCGAACTCATGTGCACTTGTAGGACGTAACACATAATCTTCAATCTCACTAGTGAATTCAACAGCATCAGGCATGACGTTCACAGTGATCTGTTCTTCGTTTAATAATGTATTGTTATCCTCCGACACTAGTCGATCATCAATCGGAAGAGATTCCATGTCTTGGTCAAGTCTTTCAGCGGCACGTACAAACTCATACCACTTCACTGTCTGAAAAGTATGACTCGTATAAAAGTCACCACTCCCAACAAGATAACTCATGACTTGTTGATGGGATATTTCCTGTTGACCCATCAAGGCATTCACAGATTTAGTTATCAGACTACGATTAATTCTTTCTGCACCGACGTTCTCTTCGACTTCAAACTTTTGTTCATGCATTTTGGTGGCATACTCTAAGGCCTGGAGACCTGTGTACATTGGAAGATTACCTTTCGTGATATACTCGGTTATATAAAAGACGGCCGCCTTGGCAGCTTCACCCGAACCGATAAACTGACTGTCTGTATTACTTTGCAAGAGGAACAATATCAGGTCCGTATAATTGTTCACCCTACCTCGCCATCGACGCAACTCAATCGAACCAGATTCAACATCGATGCTGGTAACAGCCTGCAGTGATCCATCAAGGCGCATCCGACAATTGTGGTCTCCACGCTTTTCACCGGCTCTTATGTGCTTATAGCACGTGTCATTGTGAACATGCCAATTACATTCTATCGCCAAGCGAGTCAAAAATGCTTGAAATTCGTATGCAAAAGATTGATCGTCTAAGTCCGCAATTTGTGGAGGCAACTCTAGCCGAGGATCCATCTCATCTGAACCTCTGTCAGGCTTCTTTGCGTCCTGCGGACTCGTCTCAAATACGCACGCAGTATCATTTGGCAGTTCGCAGCTGATAATACTCTCTAACCATGCGAACATCTTGCCTTGAAATCCTTCTTCATTTGCCATACGCTCTCGCAAAGCTTGTGGGCTCGGATTACCTGCAATCCAGAGCAACATATGACACTGTAAGGTGCCCCGCCCTTGCGCTTCCACCATTCCATAATATGCTTGACAGTGTCCAAATATACCAGGGCCATGCTTATACTTCGGGATAATATCAATAAAGGCACGAATCTGAAGATCAAACGCAATGGCAGCTGCATCAGGACGACTTGCAACAATTTTGGCGCGCTCAAAGGAGGACATCATTGACCAATCTGCCAACTCGATGCCTGTGATGACGGGCAAAATATGACTAGTCAAGTCATGAGGATTCAGCGTCACAAATAACGCAGGTGTGCTAAATTTTTTCATCAAAGAACGAATCTCATTACGACGACACAATTTATATCCGATGCTACCTCGTACCGACCTTGTTGAAGCTTGCAAACGACGCAGGATGTGGACAGCTTTCTTTTCTGCAGTCGTCGATGGTTTCTGATCCACAGAGTGACTCCACTTATCAGCTAAAGATGTCAAGGATGGCGCGATATCTGTCAGTTCCTTAGCTAATCCTCGTTGCGCAGATAAACCGATGCGAAAAGTTGTATTCCTGCTGACTTCTCGTTTCTGGATCATATTCCAACATATGAAGGCAAACTGAGGATCATTTCTAAAAGGTGAATCATCATGACGAAGCAAATTTCTCACTTGCGCTTGCATTGAAAGGTGTTGCTGCTTTGTTCGCCCAGAATGAAAAAATCCCCCGATATCCCAAGGGTCGAGATGGGGAAACAAATAGGACATGAGACCAGGATCACTGTCAGCTACGAATTTACTACCTGTCCGTGACAACAAGAATTTCTTGCGGTCTAAAACATATGCGAGTGCATGTAATTTCATTTTTTCTCGGCTTTGTGAAGAATGATCACCTTCTGTATACCCAACAGGTTCCATGACAAGATCACCACCGTCACTTCCATGAGTATCGTGAGTATCGCATGAATTGAAACCTGCATCTGGGGAAGCCTGATCCTCTGTCAGCAAATGGCAAATCGCTAAAGCATGCGGCACACCTGTATCTGCATCGAAATCAGCCTCATCAAACAAAGCATCCATATTATCTTGGCTATATGATACACCACTATGCTGATACCATGGATTGTGTGTAATCAAGAAATCAATGAGCTTACGAACCCTACTTTTCGTAACTAACACAGGCTTCAATTTTTTAACGGTCTCTCACGATGGTACATGTTTTTGACCCGAAAAAATTACGCACATAGCATCCCGTAACTCACCACGGTTTGGTGGTAACAAGTTATACAATTCCGTCGAACTTTGCGGACGGATAGCGACATTTCCCTTGTTATATCGTTGCGAAGCTTCCTCAGCTGACCAAAATTGAGTCAAAGAAGATTTATATGTATAGAAGTGAGTAATCTGAGATGCTCTCGCGCGAGAGACCAACATCAAATCATAAATAGAAGCCGAAGAGAAAGCCTCGCGAATCTCTGGAGATAACCTTTCATGCCCGTAGTATTGAAAATTAGCGAGAGAATTCACTGGCTGACGAGGACACTTAGAAATGAGCGCCGAATGGCATGAAGAACACATATACATTTCTGATAGGGACCAGCAACTCGTCAAACCCTTGGCATATAAAATTGCACGGCCATATAACTCGAGATCATATGTGCAAGGCAGCATATGCTCTGGCAGACAATCGTTCCGCAACAGATGTAACGGTATCTTCGCTGCTTCTACAGACCGCAATTCTTGGGCGCATACATTATGAGCACATACAGCACAGCAACCACGTTTTAATGATTCGGGACTCATCTTCTGTTGCCACTCGCGGATAATATCCGACTTGTCATCGAACGACAATACCGTTGGAAAGTGCGGATCATCCGTGACATGTCCATCCTTATGATGATAAGCTTGTCGATGTTGAACGGCGTCCGCAACTCTCGCTTCCTCACGCTGCAACTGACTCGCTGCAACACGAGTATCACGCTGAGACGCTGCATGAGACGAACGATACGATTGTGCAAAAGGATCAGGCAAAACATGATTGGAATGGTCCCGTCTGGGGTGTTTCAGCAACTTAAACACAATGGTGTTCGAAATACAATCATTATTACATACATGTACACGTAGGAGATCACGAACATGATCCTTTCGATCAGCAGAGGACACATATATAGAATGTGCACGGGCAATCTCAGCGTATTGCTCTCGATTGAATGTCGGAAAATGCTCAACAATCAACCGCAAATTGGGAGCGACCACAGGCAGCAAGGAACCTGCAGGATATTGATTACGCAAGGAGACACGCTCACGGGAGACCTCTGAAAACCCAAAACACTTGCGCAGGACACACGATGACACAACAGACATCCCATCGTCGACAAGCTCGCGATCAGAAACAACTAGAGAGACAGGAGGAGGTCGAGAAGATGCTTGATTGAGTGCGGAAGACGATGCTGAAGCCATGCGAACAAACACGAGAGGAAAGAAAGAGGAGCACGACTGCGCAAACACAGAGATACAGTGATGATGACTAATGTTAAATCATGGCAACCGGGCCGGTGTGGAGCCGGGATGATCGAGCTCACAGAGAAAATTTTGTGGGAGACCTGTACCCTCTTCTAGGGTACAGGAATTCTTCTACATATTACTAATCTTTCCTTGTTGTGCTCGTACCTCTATCTCCAATATGCGCTAACTCCTACAATTTTCTGGTCCCGTGCTCGAGTAAGTATATCATTGTTGCCTGCAATGTATTGGCCTTATGCTCACATGGAAATCTGCCACTGAAGTGACGGAAATTTGGCACAAAGCTATACAATTGCACTGTTGTGTGATAAGAGAGATATCGAGGCAAGTGCCAAGTGTGAGTACACCGCGGCTGGTGCGCGAAGGTATGGCTTTTCGTATGGTTCCAAATCATAAAGCTTATTTCCAACATGGCGGTTGTAACTCATCGTGCTTGACAGATATCTTTTGAGGGAATTAATGTAACGTCGCTTCTCGATAAACACATCTTCGTTTTCTTGACGATACCGACTTTCACACTTAGCTTAGGTGATATGGAATAAATTTCGGTTGCGGTGATAGTAAGACAATCAGGTCAATCATCATGATTTGCCTCACCTTCCCTTGAAGTTTTAGTTAGAGCGATGTGGGCGTCTTTTCCTGATCACAAACATGTGTAGGGAATTCGGAAACTGTCCTTTCCTTTATAAGATCAAACATGACAATGGAACGATCGATAGCAGAATTACGTCGATGTTTGTGAATTTGTACTATGTATTGATATATATGTGATTATATTTTGTCCACCAGTTCACTGATGTAGGCATGAAATTTTTACACTGTTCCGAATGAACTGAAGTCGTACGACAATTCCCAGGTTTTATGAATGGCCTGAGGAGTCACACCTTATCGGCAAGATAGATCAGGCTGGCCTCGCCGCATCCAATGATTTTTTGAAATGCGTTTTATATCGTGAAAGTTGAAACACCAAGGTCAGCTGCGTTGGTATGAAGGGAAAACGAAACACGGTCATGTTGTAGGCAAAGTTCCGAGAAAAAGGTGTGCCGTGTCCCACTAATATTCATTATTGGAGCCAATGGATGAATTTAAGGACAGCCAAAGAGAAACGGGGATTAGAGGCAGATTTGATACGTCTCTTCAATTGTAGTCTGGTACCTTCTCGGATGAAGTTCGTCGTGTCACCTCGGCAGGAACCTGCAGCACGTTGACATCTTGTCTTGGAAGCAAACCTGACACGAGCTTGGCAAAGGTGTCACGGACAAAGCCATATCTTCGGGTCTTCGCCGGCGATTTCTGATACCAAAAGCCTGAAATTCGCTGGGACCTAAGGGCATAGAGATGGAAAACACACGTCCTCATCCAGAATTTGAGAACTGTGGTCGTTTGAAGATTCTCAGATGGTGTGGATTGCCTCAGGCACTTGATCAGCAAGATAGATCAACTTGTACTGGTACGCGGCACTGATCCCCCGTGTTTCCAATGAGCATACCTCGTGTCATATTAGCAGGTAGATGGCACATCGACAGGTATGAAATAATCTGACGGATGTAGAAGTTGCGTCTGGTGAGGTGTTACAGGCTGTGGGGGGCAACACGGATAAAGCTATGCCGCCACATTCTCAGGACATTGCCAGCGCTCTCTATTATTGCAAGTTCTTTTTTGCTGCTCCACCCTTTTCACACCTGGGATAAGGTACGCAATACATCCGTCGTCCACGTCGATCTAACTAGGGTACAGTATCTGCGCTTCAGTTCCCTAAGGACGAATGGCAGTCTAACGTGTCGATTGATGCTGACGTTCGTACACAGCCTTCGGTCCTTGGTTTATCATTTGCTATCAATCCAAATGAATTCACTTACCTTGCTATCCCCGCTAGGTGACGTGGTGCCCTGCGATGCGTGGCTTTAGAACCCGTCGTGAAAGATGAATTTCACATTCGCCCATCATATGAAGCGGGACACGTTTGTTGGGAAACGGCATGTGTTGGATTGGTGTGCATTCAACGACTAGCAGTGGACAAATTTTCATGCTAATGATTTGTCTTTTTCTAGACGCCCACCGTGGTCGAGAATCATCCAAAATTCTCCATTTATATCGATATTAATGCCCGTGTTTGACGACACTAGGGTTTTGTCAATCTTTGCACGAACTTGATCGCCGAATGTGGTCCTTCTGCCAAATCCCATAGATGCTGTCACATAGATCAACGGGGCTATTTTATTGCGCAAGTTCCCTTGCTTTGCGATAAACTACCTGAATTTCGTCTGATTCTCGTTCTCTGTACCACAGAGAAGGCAAACACGGAACTAACTCATCAGGATACACTGTAGAATCGCAGAGAACGTACTCGAGCTACCTGGCATGTTTCACCTTGTGGGAGTTACACATCACTTGTTTAAGGCAGTACAGGTTCAAAGGGTTAGCTGAAAATTCCGTCAACAATATTACCACTTTCCTTTCGCCTTGATGTAAACTCGTTCATGCAGCCTTTGAAGCTTCTAATTGCTGATGCTAGATGACCGATTGCCTGTGAGTCTAACGACTACCAACGCTCGAAATTTTTCAATTTGGTAGCGCATGAACTAGCCGGACCTTGAGTCAGAAGGAAATTGTTCTTTCTAACGCACTTTGCATCATCCCAGCAGGTGGGAATGAAGCTCTTTCAGTGCTACGGCCTATGAGATTTGAGATTTGAAATGTTGTCTTTCGTAAAGCTGGATCTCCTACCTAATTCTGTGCTGTCAGCGAGGCTTTCCATAGGGATTCGCGGCTCATATGCAGAACTGATGTTCCACCGTCCTTGGTGGTCGGTTTGGCCTATGGTGCTTTGTTTACCCCAAACCGAACAGTGGCCGCCGCAGATACACTCATATCATGTACTGATTCCATCCAATATCGCTTCTATTCATTTCTCAACCAGCAGTGTTCTACGCATTGTTCGATCAACAGCACTATTACGAAGGCGGAAACACTCACTAGTGTGTCGCTACGTGCAAATCGGTTTGTTCTCAGGGTGGGGGGGTCTTGGTCGGGAATCGGGATTGCATATATTTGCCTCGCAAACATCGGTTTTATCGCAACAGTCAGTATCCTTTTCGTACAACTGGTCCGCTCACTACACGACGGTTGCTTTGCTGTGACAGACATTATACTAGATGCTGTCAACACAACAATAAAGGCAAGGGCGAGGGGACGCATTGTCCGTTTGAAGTGGTATGATCTGCTGAGGTGCTCGAATGATTTATTTGAGGCAGGGTGGACACTGCCAGTGACAGTAAGAATATGGGCTTTTATATTACCACAAAAGTGTTTGGCAAAATGGGTATGCCTCACCGGACAATACTGCACGACAAGAATTAGGCAAAACCTATCCCATCCACTACTAGCAGGTTTTCATGGATGTAGTCGTTTTGACACAGCCGTGACGCGGTTGTGACGAGGCAAAATGCCACGTTGATCAAAGCTGCTGCATGAATCGCATGGTCTTCCTGGGTTCCCGGTGATTCGAACGCACTTCCAGTCTCATAGTGTTACCTAGCCGGCCTACATTATGTGATTGCTGGCTACACTGGCACCTCCTATTCTTCCTGTCTCCGTGTGGTTCAAAATTACGAGATGTAAGACCACAACGCTCTGTTACTCACCGCGACAAGACTCATGGCAAGTAGTCAAACGTTCGGGACACCGTGCACTTCCAATCGGTTTTCTATCCAAGGGACGGGTTCAATGTATCATTGCTCTTCCAGGATGATCTACATCACCATACTCGGAGATGCTGAGTGCTTATGGACCCAGTCGACGGCTGGTTGGAAACTCGAATGTTCAGTAGACAGTAGTTGCATCGAAGGCATGGACTGCATCAATTGAGGGTTGTATGTCCCATATGTCGAGTGAAGATCTTGCGCAGACGGAACCTGCGGCACTGGATGGTAATGCGAGAAGTCTTCATCACTATTCACACTGGGCACAGGAGTTAGTGAACCTAGTGAAATGTTCCGAAGTGATTCGAAGGATCCATTTGGAGTTTGAAGTGGAGATAGCGTGCTTTGGCGAGAATTCAAGCTCAAGTGTAAGGGTAGTTCAGGACTGAGATAAGGATGTGTCCACAGGCCAGGATTCTGCTGCGACGACATGGAATTAACAACATTGCTTGCAAGTTGTGAGCTATCATGATATACTAAATTTTTTCACCAACCGTAATGGTTCCAGCCTAAGTCCCAATTCCAAGAATGACCGAGCAAAAATCTAGAAAGTTCCTTCGATGTTGGAGTGGCAGCTATGTCGAGTACTCTGCAGCTCATTGTAATGATATTCATATGGGCCTGGGGCCATTCACAGGGGATTACGATGTATGGAATGAAGTACACCAAATCGTTCGTAAATCTCGAACCCAACGAGGTGCAACTCGATTCAAATCGGAGTTTCGAGTTGAAACAACTTTGGTGAGGGCATGTAGGAAATGGCCGGTCTGTGTTAAGTCTGCGCAGACTCCGCCTCAAAGTCTGGGGGGCATGGCACCTGGAATACTTGGCGACTGTAGAGCTGTAGTCGATGATATGTTGTCTGTAGGCACGGCGGGCAACGTGAAATGGCGGGAGAGGCTGATGGCGGGATGGCGGGGGACTGACAGTAAATTATGACATAATACAGCGGGCAGACAACCATAGACTTCCCGGCACTTTCCGGACAACTGCTGGCTGGCAGACCTGTCCCCCAGACTTTAACACTGAGTCTGTGACTTGTCTGTATAGACCTCACGCAGACTGGCCAAATCCCGCACTTTCTGACTTTGGTCGTTTTCGAACCGAATTGATTTCACCTCGAGTTTAACTCGCCTCGACGGCAACACTAGTGTACCCAGAAATTTCATTAGAGAACCCGTATCTATATCTATATTTATTTTAACCAACATGCAAATGATGCAATGCAGTCTCCAATCGACGAAAACAGCCGCGGGCGCGCACCTCCATTTGGTTCAGTCTTCAGTACCAGTGTCGTCGTTTAGGGACCCTAGCCTTCGCTGTCAGATGGCATCATGGAGACCACTGAGTCTGTTGCTTTGGACACAAACAAAGGGCTGGACAGCTGCCATTCTCGTTATTGTATTCCTGAATTGGAGTGTTTTCACTAGGCTGGAGCTTGTGGGTTCAGGTATGTCCATGTTCCGCTGTCTTGGGGAAGAACGAAGACACTGACTAGTACTAGCGCTCCAATTCATTCCAATATTTGTTGTTCCCGTTTATGCTGATTGACCAACGCCGCGTTTGTGGATTGGCCCCCGACATTTTAGATCCCACATTGTTGTGCACAGCGTTCTCGCTTCGCGAATACTATTTAGTCTTCAAGCGAACAGCCTGGGAGCAATTGGTCATCCCCACATACCTATCGACGAATGCGCCGGAAATGCAATCGATCCCAGATGGGTTTCAAGCGTGGCATGAAGGCAGGGAGACATTTACTGGTGCTGGCCAACCAGATCAAGCTTAGATGTGCTAATAATTTTGTGGGTCCCATGGATAGTATTGTCAGTTTGTTTGGCTGACTATGAATTGTTCGTCTCCTAGTTTCCCTTTGTCATTGCAACGGGGATGTCGATTGCAGTGGTCCATGGAAGGGATAGTAGCGTAGTCGGCCAATTAACATTGTTGACCGGTCAAACCATAATGTCAGAAACGGCTTTAGCTGGAGCTCTGTTGAACCTTCGACAGCCCCTCGAACTCGACTTGAAGCTCAGTGAACCACGAGTAAGACTAGGCACAATCGATCATTTTTCAGATAAGTTCAAACATCCACATTGCTCGAACAATACAAAAACTTGTCCCAAAACAACTGTACTGATTGACTGCGAACTACTAGTGAGGCCATCAGAGAACCTGTGAGAAGAAGATATCGTCATATATCGTTATATATCGTAATATATAGGAAAGGTTTTCGTCACATTGTAATATAAAGTGATATAAAGCAATATATGACCATGTAAAAGCACCATAATCAGCATAATCCCCAGCAAGAACTCACCGGTTTACTGATGCTCACTAGGCATTGCACTGTCAACCATGGTACCAAAGCGAAAGTAGAAGCATGACTTACTGTCCGCACGTGCCCTTCGTACTGCCGGCTCAATTTTGTAACCTAACTAACAATCAAGCTCCATCCTAAGGCGCGCAGGTGAGTCATGCGGTTGATCCTGGTTGCACAGCGACCTGCTCATACTCACGCTAGGTTCACAAACCGTGCCTGTGCAGCAATCCGCAGTAGTTTTGCAAGGTGTGTTCAAACACTATGCACTGACATGCATAGATGCTGTCAAAGCAGCAACAATGGCGATGAAGGAGAAACACATTTTCTGTGCGAGATGATATGGAATCTTCTGAGGGGATCTTGAATGGTATCTCTGAGGATGGAGGACACTGTAGGACGACGGCCAGCTTTCATATCCTGCATACACTTATGGGCACGATTCTGATCAATCTGGCAGAATTGTTTTTGCTCAGGTCAGACGGCAGAAATTTCGGTAGAACCTGCAGAAACGTATTCAATTACGACCCTTGTATCACAACCTGCCATCACTGGGGCCATAGTTAGTATAGTAGTTCATGATAGTGAGTTCTCTCGCATAAATCACTCACTTGAACCGTCTCTGGCAGCACTCCACTCTTTGCAATTCCCCCCTGTAGTTTGATATTCTGCCGGATTCTGCCCGCAGAATTCTGCCATCTGCCAGGCAGAACCGGTTTGGCGGACTTCTGCCCACAACACTAACAACCACGCAAGAAGAATCTCAAACAACAACATTCAGCTCATAAAAGCCAACCGTCTTCTTTAGAATTTCTTATCACAAGAGTCACAAATAATGTGTTTCTCCTCTGCATTTGTCCTCGCCGTCGTTGCTGCTTTAGCCTCATCATCCGTCTCTGCCATACCCCCTCAGGTTGACAAGACTGGCGCCACTCAATGTCAAAGCTTTTGCAAAACTAGTGAAGAATGCTCAAAATCTAACTGCGCTTATGGAATTTGCGTGAGTATCAGTAGTTTTCCTGGCTCTGATTGCATGACTCACTTGCATGGCAGGCATTGAAACTTTTCTGCCTAGTGAGCCATGTTTCTGCCCTCGCATCCGTGCAGTATGGCCATTGGCACTGACGCGCGAGTGATTAGTGATTTGTAGATTTGATCAACGGACCACGATCGCATTCGGACTGTAGAAAGGAAAGCCCATGAATTTAAGTAGGAGAAAACGTTGAAAATCAATAGAGAGAGCTAGTGTTGCCGCACATATGTATGTCATAGTCATCCTGAGCTAGCAAAACTATATTGGGTGAAAATCAAGTGATATGCATCCGCATCACTGGGAACATCGCCAAAGTGTCTTTCACTTCGGCGCATTGCAATCCTCTTTTGTGACCATCTCATTCTAGGTCCGTATTAATTTTCATGAACTTGTGCTCCTTTGTTTTTTCTTACGTACATCCAAACGAAAAAGGTCACGAAGCAAACAATGTCACCAGGCTGGCGTGATTGTAAATTCGCCTTTGCTCGATAATGCCAAATATTCCCATGCAACAGTAGTCAGCAGATATACGAAGATTGTTGTGATGTTCTACAATACATTGCTTTACATAACTTTCTCATCTGTTCACCGGTTCACTGATGTCAGCCGCGGTCCGAACTATGAATAACTGAACTCAACACGTGATTTTGGCTTATATAAGTTATGGTCCAGCTCGGCTCAACGAGCCACGGTTACTATCACTGGCGGAGTTTTTCAAATGTTTTCAATGTTTGAAGTGTAGCACACTCGTCAAGAGGTTTTTTTCCGCTTCTTGACAGACCTGTGGGGAAAATCGTGCTCTATCACACCCAGGTGAAATCTGATTTTTTTGCGATGATGTTCGAGCGGCAGAAGGAATCCGGCTGTGCGATGTCAGTTTGGCAGGGACTGAGTTTCAAAATTTGTCACAGCAATGTCACACTGGAGTTTTATAGCTCCGCAACGGCACATTAGAATTTTGAATCTCGATATCTGAACGAGTGTTCAAAGATTCTATTGATTCGTGCATGTACATTATATAGACCAGCTATTCACAGTAAGTAAATCTAAATGTATGTATGTGTATTAAGTGGAAAGGATATGATAGAAATATAATGAAAATGAGTATGTTCACAAAAGTGTATAATCAACATTGTCCGTTTGAAGTGGTATGATCTGCTGAGATGCTCGGATGATTTATTTGAGGCAGGGTGGACAATTATGTGATTGCTGGCTACACTGGCACCTTCTATTCTTCCTGTCTCCGTGTGGTTCAGAATTACGAGATGTAAGACCACAACGCTCTGTTACTCACCGCGACAAGACTCATAGCAAGTCACCTCAAGTAGTCAAACGTTCGGGACACCGTGCACTTCCAATCGGTTTTCTATCCAAGGGACGGGTTCAATGTATCATCGCTCTTCCAGGATGATCTACATCCCCATTCAAGTTGGTGATGGAGCTTGGCTGGCAATCTGCTGGCACTACAGATCGGTGCCATCTGTTTGAAGGCACAACCACGCAAGAATTTCAAATAACAACATTCAGCTCATAAAAGCCAGCCGTCTGCTTCAGAATTACCTGATTTCTTATCACAAGAGTCACAAATTTAATAATGCATTTCTCCTCTGCATTTCTCCTCGCTGTCGTTGCTGCTTTAGTCTCATCATCCGTCTCTGCCATATCCCCTCAGGTTGACGAGGGTGGCGCCACTCAATGTCAAAACTTTTGCGCCACTGATGAAGAATGCCAAAAAACTGGCTGCGCTTATGGACTTTGCGTGAGTATCAGTAGTTTTCCTGGCTCTGGAGTCTGATAGCATGACTCACTTGCATGGCAGCTCGTCACTTGGTTCTGCATAGTGAGTCATGTTTCTGCCCTCGCATCCGTGCAGTAATGATGGCCATTGGCACTGACGCGTGAGTGATTAGTGATTTGTAGATTTGATCAACGGACCACGATCGCATTCTGACTGTGGAAAGGAAAGCCCATTAATTTAAGTAGGAGAAAACGTTGAAAATCAATAGAGAGCCACTAGTACTGAAACCAACGAGGTAGCGCAATGAATCGACGGCCATTTATGGCCACAAGCCCGTCATTTTTGGGAGTATGCGTAATTGCCCTGAGTCAGTTTTTACATTGCTTCACCAATCATCCGAAGCTGCTTTCCTCAAGTGCACACTCGACCAGAACGCAGATAGTAGCCTTAGCAAACAATCTTTGCATGGGTGCTTCCACTCGTTGGTGACTCTCGAACTGCTCAATGAACGTAACGGGTTTGAAAATGAGATTTCTTATCATTTGGATATCTGCTTCCATTCTGAAGACCAACAACGCCGGGAAATGAAGCAGAAGTCGCCATGGGAGAAAGGAAAGCTGTGAGAGAATTATGGACGCGCAGTGACGTGATAGTACCTGATGCCTGTAGATAGCTATTAACTAGAGTATTTCTATAGTACCGACGTCCATGTTATCAACCGATGCAATGTCTTTGACTTGTGCAATGATCTTATAATCCGATGCGATCCTCTTGTATTCTCCAACACATTGCTGCGCTAGCAAAAATGCGTCGAAAGGCTGTCCGAGGCGAACCATTAGCTGCAACGCTCGTGAGCTATGCTCCTCTTCAACAGGCGAATCACCGGGTAAATCGTCAGAGTCGTCCGTCGAGGACCCGGGATCAGTCCAATCACCTACGCTCTCTGTATCACCTGCGAAGTCAGCCTGCTCTGCAAAGTCAGGTACCCCGAGGAGATGCCAATCCCAGGGACGGATAAGTAAGAACGTCTGCTGAATGGGCTTTGCCCGCGAGAACTGAACTAGAGCCTCTTCAGTGGTGATCAACTGGTCGTGAAGCCCGTCTGCCTTGATTTTATACGTGATGGAAGTCTCCTGAGCTAGACCGCGCCACCCTCTGACTTCCGTGACACGAAATGAAATGCAAGGAAGATGAAGTCTGCAGTTTGCAAAGCGAGGAGCTCTAAGTTGTTCAAGCTGGTCATAAAATTTCAATGCTAGATCTGCGGCCACGGTTTGTCGCAGCGAAGAGACTTGCGTGTGAATGTGATCTTCAGACAAAGGTGAAAGGGTGCGTGGAGGAGTGGCGTAGGAGGTGATATGGGCCGGAAGACAGCTATTGAACTCAGAGGGTTCTCCGATCCAGTCGAGAACAGAGATGTCGCCCGACCGAGCCACGATCTCCTGCAGGAGCCGCCCGAGCGCGTTCAGTTTGTTCTCGCCATAAATGACAGGTAGGGTGATGCCGAAGATGCCAAATAATGAATACGCGACGTCTTCCTGCACGGTGGTGACGCGCTTCGATGCCCATTGCAGTTTCTCTCGGGCGCCGCTCATGCCTGGGCGGAAGGCCACCAGGGTCTGCGCATCTATCCCCGTCGCATCCTCCAACTCCTTCATGATTGCAAGGGGCTCTTTGTGGTTGGGAGAGCGATCGTCGAGATATAATGACCAGTCCCTCCGATAAAAGATCACAACTTTCGGAGCGAGTAATTCTTGAAAGGTCCATCCCCGCTCGTTCCGAACACTCCTCGCCAGTGCATCAGGCTGGGATGAAGGAAGGACATCGGATAGATAGACGATGGTGAGCGCAGAATGGCGGTACCAGACGAACATGGAGTTGACCGATTCTTGAAGCTCGGTGTTGCTCTTCTTGTCGATGCAGCATGCGTCCATCCACGCCCAACAATACCCAGCATCACGAGCGACTTTGCAAAACGACTGCAGTTTCGCGATGCCGCCAGTTCCCATCAACTCGCGCACACTTCATCCTGGATGTCGTGCAGCAGCGCCTCCTTCTCTTCCCACCTGTGTGATAGCATGACGCAGCGGAAGTATATTGCTACCATTTCCTTGATGCGGCCCATTTGGAGGTCTGAATGCTTCGTTGTGATTGACAAAAGCTCCTTGTACTCTGCACTCATTTTGAAGGCGTTTATTTGTGCCGCTCGATCGCACAGAAGACCCGTCGAAGTATTAAAAAAACGTAGCGGTACATTTCCGAGTTCAATCCAAACAGCTCTTTGAATAGCATCTTCTGCTTCGGATGGACAGTCATCCTGCCGACGCAGCTCTGCAGAACAAGGTAGGTATTTCGAGATTATGCAGGGGTGTTCCAAGGCTTACCTTGCATCTGCACTTCGGGAGAATTGTCCAACTTGGACGACATGATTTGTGCATCACGGATAAAGTCTTTGATGAAATCCATATCCTGGTTGATGACCTCGCGACTAATGCCTGAACCCTCCAGTTCATTCAGAACATGCACAAGGGAACCAGCGATTGGACCTGAAATCATAGACTTATTTGTTCTACCACCCTTGGAAGACTTCTTCTCTGAGGAGGAAGGTTGAACTGAAGTAGAGGTCAAATGTGGTCAACTAGAGCTTCTAAACTACCGTACCATTATCTGCTTTACGGTTGGTTACTTTCTTATAGAGGGTTTTTGCATCTTTCTCATCAGCAAAGACAAAGCCAACCATGCATTTCTTGGATAGAAGTGAGTAATTTTCTTTGAATTGCAAATGCACACTTACATCTCCCGCGAACGAATGGAAGAACGCCCTGTCCTGGTGATACTCGAACGCCTCATCTAGTTCGTGTTCCCATATGACACCTCTCGTCCCCGTTAAATCAACCAGTCTCAGCATGAAGGCATCTTTGGAGTTATCTCGCAGGAAAATGAGTGCACCTTGCAAGCCACCATACGACCACTTGTTTGGCCGCGGAGGGGCGGGCGGGCGGGGGCGGGGGCGGCATCAGAGAACCTGTGAGAAGAAGATATCGTCATATATCGTTATATATCGTAATATATAGGAAAGGTTTTCGTCACATTGTAATATAAAGTGATATAAAGCAATATATGACCATGTAAAAGCACCATAATCAGCATAATCCCCAGCAAGAACTCACCGGTTTACTGATGGCCCGATGTGCAAAGTAGATACGAGCAGCAGTAGCGGTGAGTATCTTTTGCGTGGAATTGTCTAAAGTGGATTTTACTTTAGACTTTTCGTCTGCTGAGAGTGCTGATTGAGAGGGCATATCAGGCAGATCAAAGTAAATGTAGAAATTGGCCTAATAGTACATAAGACCTGACCGTCAAACCGTGTTTGGTGCAACGTGGGAATCTAGCGGCTGCCTTCAAGCAAGGCTGCGGCAGGCTGTACAGCTGCTTTGCTGTACAGTAATCATAAATCAGTCAAGCACTATTCACTGGATGGACATGCATGGCTCCGAAGACATCATCAAGAGGTTTATCATCTAATATATAGGAGCAAACAGCCCTGGTCCTACTGTTGTGATGACCCAGGAATGTTTTAGGGCATGTTTTTTTTAAAAATTCCAGTTTCTGTCTTATAAATAGTCGTACTCTATGAAGGACAATTCAATCTAGTCTAGGGGGCCCCCAGTGTTCCATCGCATCTCTAGGTTCACGAATGCCCTAGTGTGAGGCGCACCCCCACTATTAGGGCATGTTACAGAATAACGTCAGTCTTATTTTGAATTTTGTAGCGACCAGGGGGGGATATGAATGCGGTCGTTATCCATTGATCAAATCTACAAATCACTAATCACTCGCACGTCAGTGCCAATGGTCATACTGCATGGATGCGAGGGCAGAAACACGACTCACTGCGCAGAACCAACTGAGGACCTGCCATGCAAGTGAGTCAGGCTATCAGAACCACGAAAACTACTGATACTCACGCAAGTCCGATGGGAGCAGCCGGTGTGTTGGCAATCTACATCAGTGTTGCAAAAGTTTAGACATTGAGTGGCGCCAGCCTCGTCAACCTGAGGGGGTATGGCAGAGACAGATGATGAGGCTAAAGCAGCAACGACGGCGAGGACAAATACAGAGGCGAAACGCATTATTTGTGACTCTTGTGATAAGAAATCAGGTAATTCCGAAGAAGACGGTTGGCTTTTATGAGCTAAATGTTGTTATTTGGAATTCTTCTTGCGTGATTGTGCCTTCAAACAGATGGCACCTATCTGTAATGCCAACAGATTGCCAGCCAAGGTCCATCGCCAACTTGGGGTCGAACTACTGTCTACTGAACATTCGAGTTTCCAACCAGCCGTCAACTGGGTCCATAAGCACTCGACGTTTCGAAGCCATCTCCGCATAGCTCCAAGGGTTGTCAACATGACGGATGTCATAGTATGGCAACCTCCTTGAAAGCGTCAGGCTCATGAATGAGTTTTGCTTGCGCCTCTGTCTCCTTCTCCATACCTAAGGTCTTGTGCAGTATGTTGATGTGGTGATACTGCACGCAAGTGGATGCATTGGCATGTGAATAGCGAACATCCACGTAATAAGTGCTCTCGCGTTTGACGTAGCGTTCCACATGAGCAGCCGGTAGGCTCAGTTTGCACGAACAAAGCATGGTACTTTGAGCTCTCCGATGAATCATGAATCTACGTCCTATGCGGCACTGTAAGGCGGCCATAAACGAACGTAAGTTCGGCACCTAAAACATCCATTTTAGCAAAAACCAGGTAAGATGTTAGTCAATATACCACCAAATTCATATTCCAGTAGCAGCCGAATCCACGCCGAACTCATTGTATACCTGGTGATCTTCATCTTCTTCAAGGATACCATCTTCAGCTTGTAGTTGGTCCTCTTCGTCGCTGAACAGTTATTCGGCCTCAGAAAGAGGCGTATCGTCTCGTCATCACTAATAGTGGGTGGGTGTGACTCGGAACAATGAATGCGGGGCCTGGGGATTCGAGCGACTCGTCCGGCTTCTTTACTACATGGAGTTTTATTACGAGCTTCTTGACAACTTTTTCATGGGTATAGTTTAGTGTGAGGACGTGAAGTGAACACAGTACCATGGTTTTGAAAAGACTCAGTAGTCGTGGTAAGTTAGGTATCATCTATAGAATTGCATCTGCGTGTGAAAACTAGGTCCGGTTAATTCTCTTCCGCCTTTGGGCTTCGACTAGCTGCCACATACCGGAACCTAATACGTCCGTCATGAATCTCAATCGGCAAAAAAGTGGCCTCTCGTTGGCTCAATTGCACACATCGAGAAAAATTCATGAGCTAGCCTTCGAGGCCAACGCTAGACGAGTAGATTCAAGTTGCGCAGTGCGTTCCATCTTCGTGTGGCCTCTCAATATTAATCTTCTACAGCAATGATCGCTCGTTTCGACAGCCTCTCGAACTCGAGCTTAGTTGACAACGAGAAAGGCTAGGCACGGTCGGCCATTTCCAGATAAGTTCAAACATACACATTACTCGAGCAGTACGAAAAAAACAATTGTACCAATCGACTCCAAACTAGGTGTTGCACCATCAGCCATGATACCAAAGCGAAAGCCGAAGCATAACTCACTGTTGCGACGTGCCGCTCGGGCTGCCAGCTTTATTTTCAGCCTACGCTTGGCCTACGCAGGTCAAATTCACTCCACTCTAAGGCGCGCAGGTCAATCATACGGTTGAATCCTGGTTGCACAGTGACCTGCTCATACTCACGCCATCTATACTTTCACAGACATATCCACTGCAGCATGGTGTTTCTCCACAAAGTCCTCCTTTGGGGCTACACTGTGCACTGACAGACATAGATACTGTCAGAGCAACAACAACGGCGAGGAGGGAGAAACGCATTTTTTGTGCGAGGTGATATGGAATCTTCTGGAGGGGATCTCGAATGATATCTCTGAGAACGCGGGACCACTGGGGGACAGCGACCAGCTTTTATATTCTCTGTACGCTTATGGGCACAATTCTGATCGATTTGGCAGAATTGTTCTTGCTGTCAAATGGCAGAATTTTTAGCAGAACCTGCAGGAGCGTATCTATTTGATCACGGCCATTGTTGCCAGCAGCCATCGACCATTCTTGTAATTACAGAATGCTCGCTCGAATCCCAGGCCTCTCATCCCAATCTCTCACCAATCACTTTATCATTTGAACCTTTTGAGATACGCACAAGACCGGATGCTTTTTGACGACCTGACATGATGGAGACGCGCGATGCAAAACTTGTCTTGAGTTCAAACCGACGGGATCGCGCTCGTGTTTGGTTGTCATGAAACATGTTGTACGACGGTGTATTGTATAATTATTCTGGGTTGTTTGAGCTGCCACGCATCGGTACCACGTCAGTGGTTCACTAGTGATCAACTAGGATAGGTGAAAGAGATTATGACGACTAGTCTGTGGAGCTGAGTGGTGTCGGACCACTTTTATGTAGCTATTCCTCATAATTTAGCGACTGACAAGGAATAACGCAGATGCATTTGATGATAAGGATCATGATATTTGGCACGGCATTCTTTTTGATCGACGCATGCGCAGACATAGACAGCGAATAGATATCGATAGCGAAGTCAATCATCATGCGATTCATCTGACGCGTAATCTGAGCCAGATCCAGAACTTCCAAATGAAAATGTAACGTCGCAAGAATCATCTTCTTGCCAACTTGCCTCATCGTCATCGTCATCACCTGAGAACATCCTGATGTTGTCCTTGGATAACCTACACTCTTTGCTCTCCATGTCCACCCCTGCATCGCGAAGCGTGTCTTTGAGGGAGTTGATCTGCAGATCAATTGCATTTACCTGTATTTTGGACTGCTCGTTTTCATACTCGACGATGGACTTCATCAGGTCAAGTTCGTGGCTACGAAGGCGTGCGTATCGGATTCTCGCAGCAAAAGCCCGGCGAGTGACGTATGAAAGTTCGAGCATGCGTTCATTAAAATAGTTTAAAACATCAGGAGGGTCAGTGGATGTCCACTTTGAAATATAAGCTCGGTCTTCAAGATAATGTTCAAATGATGTTGTGAACGTACTGTTGTGGTCAATACCTTCGCCCTCTTTGACGGCGATTCGAAATCCTCGCCACGATCATCACCTTGAGATAAGATATCCTGGAGGCGTACGCGCTTATGGCGCTCGTGATGGCTGGGACTTTGGACGGTCCCTTCCGAGTCAGAGCTACACTCGTCATCGGTAGCATCATGGACAGTGGCCTTTTGGTTCAAGTGATTCTTCAATATGGTACAGCTACCGGATGCAACGGATATAGGTGTAGATTGAGCTTGTCTGGAGTACAAAAACGTAAGTTGAGATAATACTAGGCTGGAGATGCGGCCTCCTCTTGAATAATTAAACAAACCTGCTGTTAGCAGAAGTCTCTGGATAAAGATCGCTTCCTGATTTCAATGGAGGGTTACTCATATCGCGACTGACAAGTGCGTTGTGGACTCAGCTAGCTAATATTAGGCGGGCAAGATCTGTACCCTGGAACTTTGGAAGAGGATCTGGGGAAATATACCTCGAGGCTTGAGCGGCCGTTGCCGACGTAATAACGTACACTGAAAAGTTACGTGATCGGACTCGGAACGAACAAAACAAACTTCAACGCAACTTGAAGGTGTACTTATTCTGGTCGGTACCAACTTGAAAGCTGTGGGGCTCATGTCCAGATGGACATGCCAGTTCCCTATCCTCTTCGCCGGCGAGTCCGTATGTTCCACCAAGGAGAAACGTCCGGACCGTAAGTTGAGATAAACATTTGGTCAATTTCCGTTTGGATCGCAGACTAGGTTTTATAGAGTTGCTCGGTCATAATGCGGGTCCTAATTCGGCCGGCTCTATCTTTGATTTGTCCCATGTGTTCTCTTCATCTCTTTTAGTGCGCGCTATGTTACGTGATGTGGACCTGGTTCAGCTTGCCCATCATCACTGAAAACCAAGATCTATGATAAACCCTTATATACACATTATAATCCCAACAATGTCTATAATCGTATAAAATATGGCAGTGCAGAAGCCATAGTCTTGTATAGAAATATATTGTTATCCCTTGCGACCAATCTTTATCATGATTACCTGTGCCCGGCATTAGTTGAATGAATTTGGCTGTGTAAAAACTCAAACAGATTGATAAACACGCTAATTGCTGAAAACAAGATATATATGTGTAGAACGCTATCCCCTATGACCAATAATTATCAAAATGGTTTTCATTTGGCATTGGCTGCATGAATCATGTTGTGACAATACTAAAACTGTACTGAAGTGATGATGCATGTTCGAAAAAGTGTCTCTCATTTAGCATTTCTAGCACAGCGGCTCTCCTGTCCAATAAGTAAAAGAGATAGAAATTCTTGCCATCTGTACCATCATATGGACAATTGCTTCATTGGCATCATGGTATTGCGGGTTTTATACTTGATTGGCCAGGAAGTCACATTGGGTTGTATAGGATTATACAGAGACACTCGGTACAATACATGTAGTTTATCAATGCCTCGCCAATTCTCTACCCTAATCTCATCATCAACACCGTCTGCAGGAACAATAACATGGGTTGAACCACAACAGATATCGTTAGTGCCTTGAAGTCCAATGAAAGCAAGGTGTCGTGGCAACTTGACACTATTGTTTCCTTATGCAAAATTTGCACTGCTCAAGTGGTTGACTGAGTTTGGCGGTGCCGGTGTACAATCAAGCTCGGCGGTGCCAGTATAGGATCGAGTTTGGTGGTATATAATCGAACTCGTGGTACCATAGGATGTAACAGGATCGAGTTCAGCCATAGGATCGAGTTTTTGGCCATGGAATAGAAGTTGGTCGCAGGGATCAAATCCAAATATGAGATCGAGTTCAGCCATATCATCGAAGACCAGTCATCCTTAGACAGAAACATAGACCACAACATGACATATCCTGTTGCCAGACCATGTAGTACAGTGCGACTTTCTGGATGGCATCCTGTCGAGAAACTTGCAGGAAGTAGCGTTAATGAGTGATTGAAGGCAGAGTAGGTGATAGTGGGGATTGTAAATAAAATCTGAGTCGGATCCTTACTTATCAATGACCGGAAGATATGCTCGGCCGGTGGTGACTGAGGTCTTGACCCTTCCCAAGGGAGTTGTACCTCGTTCGTTTTGAGATCCGGTGGTCAAACTATTTCAGAATAGGAAAAGAGAAGGAGCAGGGTCGGAGCCGGGTAAGGCTGCGAGCTTCGGCGTCAGTTGCAGACAGCTAAAACCAACAGAGATAACGGCAGTTTCGAGCATCGGTCGAGGACACATGGCCAATGTTGACTTTGAAGAAAGGCCAAAATGCAGAATAGGTTTCAAGTGGGATTGAGGGATCATCCAGACCACCATTCACTACTGCCCGATCCCAACAACCGCCAGTGCTTAGCGCACATGCCCAGCGCATGTCAGCAAATGCTGACGTGGCTCGAACATATGCGAACCACACCGGAAGGCGCCAGAATGAGAGGAGTGGAGGAGGGCGAGAAGGAGATGAGGGAGAGGTAAGTTTAAGTCTTGGGTACCTATGGAAATGAGGTAGTTAGCAGCATAAAAATGCACAATACATATTACACGCACCTCTGCAGCTTAGAGAAAGGTACCCACAATCCCTCGGCCGCATTCAACACCATCAATCTCCAGTAAAATGTCACAGCTCATTCCAAGCACCACATCCCTTCGAGCTTTTGACAGACCGGCAGTGCCTGTTCGAAAAGTCGGCTCAATGTCAAGTAAGAGATGTTAGGACCTCAGAAGCGAAGAAGGATGGCACTGACTGCATCTTGAGATGAATTGTTGAATCAGAAAATATGACAATGACAAGCAAATGTAGCGAAGCCATGGAGGACGAGTGCAACTCACAGTGGTGTGTGTGAGTTTTGTGTGTCTAGAATTTTTGAATAGATCAGCGCCATATACGTTGAGCGTATGCCTACAGCATCGACGTCTTCCTATCATTCTGCACTGCTATATAGTATTAAGCAATTTTTACGCATGAATGCAAAAACTATACCACCAGCTTAGAATTCGACATACTGTTAAATTAATGTGTCGAAACGACAAACAAGCTCACGGATCAGGAAAATGATGCTTGATAAGTAGGCCAATACATGGGCATATAAGGACAACACAGATTTCGCCAACCTTATAAGGTAAATATTGTCATACCGGGTTATCCGGTTTTCAGTGATGATTCGCTGAGCCCCGCAGTGATACGTTATGGCTGCCAGAGCTCCTGCAACTTCGAAGCAGCACCTACAACTAGGCGCGGATGAAGTTGTTCTAGCTAAGCTAGGATACAAGCAAGAGTTTCGTAGGGAATTCACCCCGCTAGAGGTGGGCTTGATATCAGGCTATCGTCACTACGACACAATCCAACAGTTGTACAGGTGTCTGGACTTGCATTCAGCTATACAGGAGTGCTCCCTGGTATAGCGTAAGTTGCTAATATGACTCCAGCCAATTGACTGATCAAAATCTATTTAGCTCTGTGCTCTTCTATGCCATACCAAATGGCGGACCTGTCGCTATGGTTTGGGGGGTAAGTTCTCATCATATGTAGGGATCATTGTTTTGCAACGTTTTTCCCTGCAGTGGGCAATTGCTGGTCCCTTTATCATGTGCATCGGGCTGGCAATGGCGGAGCTCGCATCAGCAGCGCCTACTTCTGGAGGTGTATGTACTTGATGTCGTTATTGTTTCACATCTGCTCATTATGAAAATCTAGTTATATTATTGGACTTATTCACTTGCTTCTCCACGGTGCCGGAATTTTCTCTCGTGGATAGTTGGCTGTAAGTCTTGCATTTCGACATGATGTGCATCCCGTCTTGACATCTACAGACTCAAATACCATACAGACTATCACTGGAGTCGGTGAGTCAATTTTCATTCTTTCAACAATTTGCCTCTGATAGCGTGGGGCTAGCTTCCGTAAACTGGGCTTGCGCAATTCAGATCGCGGCAGCGATTAGTATTGCCACAGACCAGGCATATGTCACTACCAACGAGCAGCTCTAGTCAGTCCACCTTCTTCCAATCACTATATCTCATAACGATTGCCACAGCGGTATATACGCAGCTTTGGTCTTGTCACATGCTGTCCTCGTGAGCCTCGGTACCAAAGTCTTGGCAAGATTGCAGAGACTATACACCTTTGTGAATCTGTGGTAGGTGTTGTATATTTATCCATGTCCAATGCTTCAAGTCCTCCGGCAGCCTTTGCTTCATAGTCATTATTGCGCTTCCAATCGCGACGCCACGCGAATACCGAAACAGTGCAAGTTTTGCGCTAGGAAATTTCACAAACTGTATGTATCCGCTTCCAATTACAATCGCAGCTCACGTTCAGTGACAGTGGCTGGCTGGCCTTCTGGATTCGCGTTCATCTTGAGTTTCATGGCGCCTCTTTATTCAATAGGTTAGACCCTCTTCTCCCGGATTGTCTATTCATGACCACCTTTGATTACCAGGCGGTTATGATGCCAGCGTCCATATGAGCGAGGAGGCCTCAAACGCTGCTACTGCAATACCATGGGCAATCGTGAGTCACATCAGAAAATGACCAATCATTGTGTTCACCCCAGGTAGATCAGTTCTATTGCAGTGTCGGTCGTTCTTGGTTGGGGTATGTGGAACGACATGTCACTCCGATCTTGATACTATTTCTTATATAGGAATAAACGTTTCCCTTGCCTTTTGCATGGGTACCAACCTTGAAAGTATCTTAAATGGTCCTATCGGCCAGCCTATGGCACAAATCTTATACACTTCGCTTGGGCAGAGGGGGGCGTTAGCTCTGTGGTGTCTCATTATTTCAACGTTGTACGTTTTAGCAGCGCGTGACACACATAACCTAATCACAAAACAGGTACATAGTGGCATCGAACTCCCTCCTGGTCGGCTCTCGCCAGACATTTGCATTTTCTCGTGATGGGGCCCTCCCATTCTCAAGATATTTGTACCGGATCAATAGCTACACGCAAACACCAGTTAATACGGTTTGGTTTGACGCTGTCTTTGTACTGGTGATTGGGCTTCTTGCGTTTGTGAGCACCGAGGCCATCAATGCGGTGTTCACTATCGGTATCACTGCATCGTATGTCTCATACATAACGCCAATCACAACGCGCTTTGCGTTCAAGAACGATTTCAAACCCGGCCCATTTTATCTTGGGAAATTGGCGAGTTGATCTACAGGGATGCGTTTACTATTCCTGCACTAATATGTCCGTGCAGAGCTTTCCAATCGCAGCGATAGCTGTGTCGTCGATGGTCTTCATGATCTTTGTTTTCTTCTTTCCTTCGACCCCGCAAACGACTGCACAAGAGATGAACTATACAGCTGTGGTCCTTGGAGGGTACATGGCCCTTGCGATTTCCTGGTATTATTGCCCGGTGTATGGAGGCGTC